CCCTTATATATAATTATGTGAGCCTGGACTGGCTCCAAAAGAAGAGTTCATTTTTGGTGGGGTGGGAGGTTTATTTTTGCACACCTTGAACATACACTGAATTTTCCAGGAATGCAATTTCTGTAGAAATTATGGGATGATTTTTTTTTTGTTGTTGTTGTTTTGTTCAGAAAGTTCCAAGAAATATCCATCTTCCTAGAAAATACACCACTAATGGTAAATTGTAGATCTGAGTCCCTAATACCATGCCCCAGAATTAAGTATCCGCTTGCATTCATAACTAACTCATTAGCAGCAATTATTAATCCAAAAGCAATCATCCAACCCCTTTGTTTTGGAGAATCTACATACTGAAACACATTTTTTTAATCACAATTATTTTTCTTTCATCTTTTATATTAGTTAAGTCATTCTGAAGTTTTGAAATTTTTTGGGTGGGTAAATTCTATTTTTGGATTTCATTTTAGGGTTATCATAGGTTATTATAAAGTATTTGTTACAAAAGAAGATCAACAGAACTGATTGGGTCCAAAGTCTATTCATATAAACACATTTTATTGAGTGCCTCTGTTGGATTAGACTCAGTAAGTTACTGGTCTTGATATACAAGAAATTATATTCCAGCCGACAGTCCATTTGTTCTACCCACTTCCTGCAAGAATAATATGGGATTGTTGTTATTCTTTTTTTGTTGTTGTTGTTTATTTTCTGTAATTTCTGGTGCTCATCTACAAAAACTTGGATCAATGTTACCAAGATTTGTTAACACCACAATTCCTTCCTGCTCTTATTTTACCTAATTCTGGAGAAGAAGTCTAGAAGAGCAAAAGACTCAGACTCATCCTTTATAATTTGTGTCAGATTTATCCACTGATTCTTATTTCTGTCATTAGAGTGTTTGCTGGGGTGCACTGGGTTTCAGTGGTTGACAGGTTTGGCTGCAACCCAATGGCAGGCAGAATCTAAGCTGGCTTCCTGGTAGTCACACCTTTAAGTAATCCTCTCTCCTTGAGTGTGGGTAGGGTTGGTGACCTGCTTCTAATCAACAGTATGCAGCCAAGGTGATGGAATGTTCATTCCATGATTTGATTACCTAAAATTTTAGCTTCCATCTTGCTATTGAGTTTCCTGATTGTCTTGTGGGATTGCATATTTTGAGAAAGCAAGCAGCTCTCAGAAAAGCCTACGTGACAAGAAACTGCTGATGGCCTCTAGCCAAAATCCAACTAGGAACCAAGGCAACCAGCCCAAACTTCAACTAACTGAATTCTGCCAACCAGCAGGTGACCTCTGAAATGAATCCTTCAGTCAAGCCTTTGGATGAGACACCAGCACTGTCCCAACCCTTGATTGTAGCCTTGTAAGAGACTGAAGCAGAATGGCAAGATTCCTGACCACAAATATTCTAGGATAATAAATGTGTGGGATTTTAAGCTGCTACATTTATGGTAATTATTCTGCAGTAATAGATAACTAATACACCAGCCCACAAGATTAATGAGATGCAAAACTACTTCATTAGAATACCCAGGGCCCTCTTACAGGATGGCSAGCATTTAGAGGCTGCAACATAGCATTTCCCAAACTTACCTATAAAACTTGAATTGCTTTTAACATACTTAGAGAAGACGAGCAAGTACATGCCTGCATTTAAGCTGAAAAAAGGTGATCTTTGGCTGAATTAATGGTTGCAAAATTGTGATCAGAAATTTGATTCTTATCATATGTATATTTACTTTAAAAAAAGGTGTGTGGGGGGAGACTAGCAACTTGCATTGGCTAGTCTTTGGTATATAGGTGAAGGGCAACATTTGCCTATTATTGCCATTACAAAACAACTCTCTAACCTATCTCAATCTTGTGGGCTAGGTTTGGTATAACATTTTTGTTTGCTCCTCTATTCAGAAGCATAAAGTGCTCCATGCCAAAGTTTCCTTGTTCTACATCCAACTCTCAGTAGTTCCCAGACTGAGCTGGTGACAGGGTTCTCTCTCTATGAGGACAGGTAAATTAAGGAAACAGCTAAGTTCAAAAACATCTATCTTTCCAAGGAGAACACTTTCCCCTGGAAATTCCTCACGTCCTTCAGGGATTGAGATGTTTCCTCAATCCCTGTGAGAGGGCCCTGAGTATTCTAATGAAGTAGTTTTGCATCTCATTAACTGTGTGGGCTAGTGTATTAGTTGTCTATTGCTACAAAACAAATTACCATTAGTAGCTTAAAATCCCACACATTTATTATCCTAGAGTACAGTCTTTCTCATAGCCTGGTAATGTACTCTTTTCCAAAAAGCACAACACTATTTGTTTAAATCCCTCTCTGTCCTGCCTGGTCCTTTTATTGTGTACCCTAACCCTGAACTTGTTTTCAGACCAAGACAAGATCTAATGGAAACAGAGGGATACAGGCAATACTTTAGGCAAAACAGCAGCTCGTGCCAAAAAAAATTAAATTCTTAAGAAGAATATAATGCATTTTGGCAGTTACTGATAAAGTTAAACATACGTTTACCATATGACCCAGAAATTCTACTCCTGGAATATTTACCCAAGAGAAATGAAAATAAATGTCTGCACAGAGAGTGCATACACATGATAGCATTATTCTTAAGAGCTCCAAATCCAAGTGTCCATCACAGATGAATGGATAAACAGACTAAGATMAATCCATACAATAGAATACCACTTGGCAATAAAAAGGAACCAACTATTGATATGCATAACAACATGGATAATTGCAACARCATTGTGCCAAAGAGAGGTGTCATACTGAATGATCCCACTGATATGAAACTCTAGAAAAAGAAAACCTAATTGACAGTGATAAAAAGCCCATTAGTAACTCGAGGCTAGGGAAAAACTGAACTCAGGGGTGCTGTACCATTGAGCTACATCACCAGTCTGTTTTTTTTTTTTTTTTTTTTAAGTTGACCAGGCTGGCCTCAAACTTTTGATCCTCCTGTCTTAGCCTCCTATAGTGATAGGCATGGGCTACCGCACCCAGCTCATTCAATATCTTGATTGTGGTATGGTTACGTGGGTTAACTATTTCTCAAAACCCACTGTACCTTGCATGGATGCCTTTTACAGTATACAAATCATACCTCAAAACTGCTTAAAAAGTRAAGAGAGCGAAAACTGAGGAGATTCCGCAACTTAAAAACACACTCCATGAGACAGCTGAACTGTTTTCAGATATCAATTTCTAGGAAGGACTTTCCTAGGGGCAGTGAGCCAAAGCCCAAACACCCACCAAAAAAGCACATTCCATTCACCTGACACCTGGGTTTATCGGGGATCAGGAGCAGCAGATAGGAGCCCGGGCGGCAGGAGGAAAGCACATCCTCTGATTTCTTCTTAGCCTCCTCTTTCCAACACAGACGCGGCTGTGACCTCTGGCTCTTCCTTCCCTTGAACTCTCCTGTACGAAATGATTAGCTGCTTGCCAGCCAAGCGTTCTGTTCCCCAKCGCTCTGTCTCCAGGGACTCCTCCCAACTGCTCATATTCACACAGTAACTTTATGGACTTTCAAAATTAGAGATATGGAGCTGGAAACAATTCTGGAGGCGATCCCTCATTCAGCACATGGGGACCCCCAAGCTTGGAGTCATGAAGTTGATCCGTCTCCCATCATGCTCCAGCATGGCCAATAGAGATGTTTGTAGTTGTGCTCTACCAAGTGGCAACTGAGCACTTCCAATGGGGCTATTGAGGAACTGAATTATTTTAATTTACATTTAAATTAATTAAATGTAAATAGCTTTGTGTGGCTAGTGTCTGTCCTGTGGGACGGCACAGACGTGCAGGAGACCCAGAGCCTGGAAGGTAGGAACAAATTGTCTTCCTAGGTTCCACTCTGCACATGGCTCCCTCTTCCTGGGTGTTAGGGGATTTCTAACTCTGGAGATCTTTGTCTTCTTCAAGATGGCAAATATTTCCTCTTTCTGTTGTTTGATCCTGAGGGATTTACTTGAATCATGTAATACCACATAT